CAACTCCGCATACATTTTCACCGCCAGCTCCGATCACACTGTTCGCATGTGGGCTGTTTCAACTGGTAATGCTGTCCGCATGTTCACTGGCCACACTGGCAGCATCACCGCGATGGAGTGCAGCCGCGATGGAAAGCTCCTGGCATCCGCCGATGATCAGGGCTGCATCATCTTGTGGGATCTGGCTCCTGGTAGACTGCTGAAGCGTATGCGTGGCCATGGCAAGGGTGGAATCTGGTCTGTCAGCTGGAGCGTGGAGTCCACAGTGCTGGTCTCCGGTGGAGCTGATGGTACCGTGCGAGTTTGGGATATTGCTGGTTCTCAGGAAACCAATCAAGGTGGTCGTATCATCGGCGAAACAGGCACTGGAACCAGACTTGATGCAGCCGCAAACCCCTCGACAAGCCAGACCAAGAAAAAGAAGGGAAAGGACGTCGTTGTCACGGCCGACCAAATCAGCGCTTTCCCGACTAAGAAGTCTCCTGTCTACAAGGTCAAGTTCACCAATATGAATTTGGTGGTGGCTGGCGGTGCCTATTTGCCTTGAAGGCATTTAGATCCGTTTTCCTCGGCGTCATACGCTTTTTCTTTTCTCTTTCTCTCTCATAATACCCTTACTCCTCCTTGTATTATCACATCCATTTTCACGATCCGCGCATGATGATTCCGTTTGATGGAATCCCGGTGGCGTTCGGAATCTTGAAAACTTGATTCTCGGTGTTTATCGATGGAGAGGCACGAACGTTTTACCGTGCCCGACAGCTTTTTTTTTTTTTCTTCTTCTTTCCCTGTTTCTCTGCTCTAATGTTTATCGTAGCGGGGTGGTATGAAGCTTCGGATTGGAGACTGGACTTCCGGCTGCCCTTTGTGGCCGAGTTGATCTGGGCCCACTGATCTTCTCAACCCGTTCGAAAATGATACTTTTTCTGATCATATCATTTTGTTTCCGTACATGAAATTAGCTAGATCCCATCAATTGTAGACGTAATCGCATTAGTGAAAGAGCCTTTGTAGATCACCTATTTGCTCGAGAAGCATGTGTTGATATCTATGAACAGCCTTTCATTGGATATCATATATCATTTCAAACACTGAGACAAATCATGGTACTATCTCAGGTGTCCCGTTGAGCCACCAGGAGCACCGGTTCCCTTCTTCATCGCCGCTGACGCCTGCATATCCGCCACCTTGGGTGGAAGCACCAATGCACTCCGGTCATTGCGTCGGTAAAAGTCCGCCAGGATATGCGCAGTCTTCGCAGGCTGGTCCTCATGGACAAAGTGACCTGCTTCGGGAAATACCTGGAGTTGATATTTGCCTGTGACACTGAAGTGAGCATGATGACGAATGGTTATAGACAGCTGGCAGAGTGGTTTTCGAAGTGCATACCTTGCATCTGCCCGATCATCAACTCTTTATCCAATCTGTCGGTCCCAGCAAGTAGTAGTAGCTTGCCACCTCGTGCATCGAGGAACTTCCTACTCAAGCCAACAAACCAGTTTTCCCAGAAAGGTTTCGTTGCGGAGAGGTTGGTACGCCACACCCAGGGACGGGACGGGTCGCTAGGCTCGCTTTCTTCATATAAGAGGGATGGAACCGAGGCGCGAGCGGAAGTGGTGTTCCGGATTGTGCGGGAGCGAGTACTTGTGGTGTTTGTTAGTTATGATGGGAAGAAATGACAGTCAGGAATGGAGACATACTGCCATTCAATTCCAGATAGCAGGGATGGAAATCGGATCGGACGAGTTGAAAGATATTTCTCCATGCTCTGGAGGGCATCCATTGCAGATCCTGTCAAAAAGGGACATCAGTATCTGATAGACATGGCACCAAAGGCAAACATATATACCTTCAACTACGTCGAACACGGCGTATGCCAACAACTTCGGGCCCAGCTCTCCTTTCATCGCGACATCTGTAATCACCGCACCACCGAGACTGTGTCCAACCAGAATAATATCAGGGAGCTTCTCCCAACCCATCCTGGTTTGTGTCTGGTAGATCACATGGACTAGATCCCGGCTCAGGGTCTCAAGACTGAGGTCGAGCTCAACCTGCCCGGATGATTCAGCCTGGGCTGCCGCTGCCGTAGAAGGAGCGTTGTCACCCGTCTTGCTGTCCAATGTAGTCACGAGAGTGCGGCCATGGCTTCGAGCATCTAGTGACAGAATCCCCGCCTTTGGGAGGATCTTCCTAATCTCTTCTGCGCACGTCGCGAAGGAAAGTCCAGATGAACCGGCCCCATGGTGCATTACAAAAAGTGGGCCTGATTCAGTCGGTGGTGTTAAATAGACATGGTGTACAATATGAAAATTATCCACATCTTCTGGGAGAAAGAGCTCCTGGTCAAAGAAGTCCGTCCATGTCAAAGAGGTTTGGGATGATTGTCTGTGGTCGCATGTTAGCCTTATGTTAGAAAACCAGCTGGTCCAAATAACCAATTGATCCCAAGTTGAGCTCATGGAAATTGGAGAGGTAAACGAACCGTCGGCCCGTTCGGGCGAATAGCTGTCGCGTGGGTGACGGGACCATCGTCCCCGTCGACGACAGCGAGGAAGTCGAAGAGCCATCCTCCCATGCATCCTCTGAGTAACTCATTGAGTCAGGCATTGGTGCTTCAGGTGGAAACTTGGCCAGTTTTGACTTGGCAAATGATTTCTGAAGGTCACTCATCTCAAGTGGATACCACCGGCTGTGTCGATCAAAAGGGGAGGGGGTGCATGAATGAGGGCTGTCATACGTGTATTCTCTTCCACACGCTGTGAATGAATTGGCAGGGCGAAATTGCTTATGACTTTTGATAGAATTAATCGAGTCCATTCGCATCGGGTGAACTGCTGTGTCGTCAGTCACGGCTGACTAATATTATTGCTGGCCTCCCAGCCCTGAGATGTCATGTCAACGCTATAGAAGTTGGCAATGCCCCGGTAATCATATATTAGGTCTTAGATATGGTATCTGTGTGGCCCAGTCTAAAACTTGCCGACGAAGGAGAAATAGATGTAAGCAATCGTCTCAACTTGCTACAAGGACAGTGGAATTCTATCGGGATGCATACTAACAAAAGATAATGAAAACACAAAGCATGATGGGTTATATACATTATCACATAACACATATCTTCTCGGTCATATATACATAGTAAGTAGTTATACAAAAGCCTATGGTTATACGTAAGATATCACTCCGGTGTTCTGTTTAGATGGTCCATTTGGGTGTCTCCACCAAATATATATATAACCTTCTAAAGATGATAAATAACAGACAGGAAGTAGGTTCTGTTATATATAGCATAGAAAAAGCGATAAAAATCTTAAACCATATAAGGAAATTTTCTATGAAGACACAAAAATAGTTGGTGGCGTTTCATCTTTTCATTTTTTTTTTAGATACCTCGTCCTCCCCCATACTGGTGTCGTAACAACTATCTGTATGTTGGGGCTGAAAGCAGCTTAAACTGTGCCACTGAGTTTTCTATGTACAAATTACAGTAGTTGGCCGCTTATGCGACCTTGTCATGTCTTTTTGGTTTTACACGAAGAGGGTAAAATGCAATATGTATGTTTGCGCAAGAGGCTTTTTCTATGTATAATTGTGAATGATATGGATGGAATACGATAAACTTTAACCAGCCAGCCAGTCAGTCCTTTGAACAGGGAACAAAAAGAAAAAGAAAGGAAGGAAGCCAACGGCTGGGGGGGGGCGAACATTCAGGTTAAAAGCATAACGCTCTACCATTGAGCTACGCCGGCTATTTGTTAAAGCATTGCCAGGGAATATGAAATACAAGACTGAAACTCACGAGTCTCAGCATTGATAAAGGGCATGTGGTATATACTTCCAAGGTTACAAACTTTTGTTTATTGCCTATATAAATCCATATGCAGAGAACATTGAATAATAACTCAGTATAACCCTTTTCTCTTTGAGTATACCAAGACGACTGAATTTGTAACGAATTGACATCACCCTAGATATGGAACCCGGTGTCGATTCTTTACTACTTCCTCACGCTGACTCTGGATTTCCTTCACCTGACTCCATTTCTTCCCCTGATGCCATGTCCCCTGCATCTCCGAATGCCCGTGAACTCACTGTTGTCTCTGATTTGAATAGAATCCCAACGGAAACTATCTGTGGCAATGCCGTAGACGGATGCGTCCCAAATCTTTGCCTTCTTCCTCGTGTGGTGAATGATGCCCAGGTGGCTATGTATTCGTGTCAGCATATTGATCTATGTTTGTAAGGTGTAACTCAACTTTTGGCTGGGTTATCAACCCTTTACTATAAAATATCGATGGATTCGGCCATCGTAACGTGTAGGACCGTAAGAGGTGGAGAAGTTTGAAGAGGTTCAATTCCAGAAAAGTCCCTGAGGCATGCTTCGTGTTTTGTAAACAATGTCACAGCAATTGGATGTGAGACTGCAAGATCTTAAACGGAAGAAGAACAGGTTTTAGGTAGAAGGAAAGTGGGACCGCCTCAATGGGTAGGAACGAGGATAACGCTGTAATAGCTCCATATAGAACCCCGGAGATATGCGGCGGCTTTGATATATATATATATATAGCCCTTTGCTCATCACAACATAACTGGAATATATCTCAGTTGGAAGTGAGAAATGAGAGAAGAACCTTGGAATGGTGACCAGACACAAGGGGACAGGGACCATCAAAGGTTTATATTATCCTCAGCGTACTCAGCAATGAGATGATAACAATCCAGTTGTGATATTCAACTGTCCTTGCGTAAATTGAGCACCGGGAAGGAGGTATAGTACTGAATCTGGTTTTGGCGCAATAGATTATCACGTACTATATCGCCATTGTATCTTTGAGGGCGCTGTGGTCCTGCCCCGTGAAAAGAACGGCATCAGGACCCGGAGGTGGTGGTATTTCTTGGACGTTTAGCTTATTATTTTTATACACTGAAAGCTGACATAGACCAGAAGACGGGTCGGGCTAACCCACAAAGAAAACACCAGGAACTTGCTCACCAACCTAACCAAACCAAGGATCAAACCAAGGATCCCTCTCCAGCTCCTCGTTGACCGGGTTTTCGGGCTTGGGAGGCTCCTTTGTTCGTAATTTATCAGCCCAAGCCTCCAGGTCAACGGGGCTTTTGATGAAATGAAGTAGCACCTGCCTAGTGGCCACTGCATCTTCCAACGCACTATGTCCACACCTTCCCGCTTGGATTTTCAGACCAAGAAAGTCATTGGCCAAGGTCTTAAGGTTCCAAGTCCTTCGGAAGGGTCTCTCAAGGGGTCGATACACTGCATCAGCAGTGAGGATTTCCGTGTCGATGATTGTGGGGTGTACACTCCCCAGGGTGTTCAGGTCGTTATGGAGGGCGTGACCGACCAGTATAGAGTTACTATCCATATACTTAAAAATAATTTCGCGTGCTGCTTTCCACCCTGGAAGGGCGACGTTATCCTTCACCGCAGCCTTCATATTAGCACACGTTATGCCGCTCGATCGGGTGAACCAGTTTCGGACGATATTGGCTGGATGAACGAAATTGTTGATGAGAACTTCTCCGGTGAGAAGGTCTATGACTGCTAGAAAGGCTAGCTCTTTGCGATTTCCCGAAACCCCAACCATCTCGCAATCTAGGACAAGCGCCTGCCGTCTAGCTGTGTCTCTGTTTGGCGTTGGGCTCTCGACAAATTCCATGTATCTGACGACCCCACCCGCGGCGCAGCGAGTGCCATCGCCGCGAGACGAGATAGGGGTATAGTGTTGCTTTTTCAATACTTCTTCTGTGTGCACCTTTTTTAGGAGCTGGTCGAAGAGCCCCCCCTGCTCGTCAGTTGGGACGAGCTTTGGATCAGCTGACATTGCGGGTTTCGTTCCCAAGGGTTGATAGTGGCAATAGTGGATAGTCGATGGTGACCAGGATGATGAAGAGGATAATAGTAGACGATAATGATGATTTCGTTGTTCAGTTTTAATGAGATAGAGAAAAAGGTTCATCGAGAGAGCGAAGGGGAGCGAAATAAATTAATAGAAATAAAAGTAAATGACGGGAGAGAGCAAATCAAATGACGAGAGAGAGCGAAGTGAATGATGGAAGACAGTAAAGTAAATGACGAGAGAGAGCGAAGTAAGTGATGGAAGACAGTAAAGTAAATGACAGGAGAGAGCGAAGTGAATAAATAAGAAGAGACAGTAACAACATAAGTGAATAGACGCAGGTTACGAACAGGCATCGCAGACGTGACAAAGGCTCGGCATCGGGTTTATTTCCAAGGTTACAAACGTTCTCTGTCTAATTCGACTAAGCCTACTCGCTATAGTTATATATCAATAGGTGGATCATATTGAACAATAACGCAGGATAGCTGTGTATTCGTATATATATAGTAAGAGGAGTGGATTTAGGATAGAAGCCAGTGGCAATGCTATTACATGCCAGGTCAATCAATTAATAAAGAGTGTATTCCAACTAAAAACTAAAAAAGCAAAGACAGAGAAGAATGTGAGAGAGAGAGATCCTGGGGGTTCTTATAGTAAGAGGATCTCTGCAAAGCAAGTGAGACAAACAACCTTCTCCTTCCCGATTAGAACAAAGAAATAAACAAACGAAGGAAGAAGCAAACAGAAAATAAAACAAATAGGCAAACAAGCAAACAAGAGAAGTGACTATCATTGACAAGTGGGAAAGCAAGTGAGATATTGTAGTTAGATCGTGATACATGCCATGTTGTGATCAGATCCATCCAAATTATACATGAGAGATTAGGTGGGAAGAAAGAGTACCGGAACAATCTGCAAGAGCTTGTTATAGGCAGCGAGATACGGTAAATTATGCAATGGGATTAGGCTGAGAAAATTATAGACCGAAGGCTTTTTAGGACACTTAGCCAGTAGAGCTCGTCCCTACCCTTACCGGCGAACCTATTACGACATAGACACAATTCATAAGCTAAGGCACTTCTATACCTTCTACTACTGGAAGGCTGCTCACACTTCAGAGCAATACTTCCGGAACCCCGCTAACGCCAAGGCAGCTAACGGGGTTAACACTCCGGCTTCCACTACCCCCAATAAGCCCACTCACTATATGGCCCTTTGAGAGTTGACACACAAAGAATAGACAGACCGATACAACAAACACGCCCAAGAAGTGTTTCACAACATTGCATAAAAAGGCGTGCAATGAGACCAGTTCAATTGTAGTATTCAAAAAGCCCTTGTATTATCTTAGCATCGATGAGGAGGTGCAGTACTGAACCTCGTATCTGCCATGTAGACGGCAATGAGTGCAGCCTGAACAAAACAGTTAGTGTGTGTTTACCAACCAAAACACGATACACTCACTAGGGACAAGTCAAACCCCTCAGCGACAAGAATCTCAAGCACTTGTCGTGGCATCAAGGAGACATCACCTTGGGAGGTACATTTGGGTAATGTCTTGTTCATCGTCATGCTCTCACGAACATCAACCACTTTCTGGCCCCCAACACTAGCCTCGAATCCCTGCCACGCGTAACTGCTCGTCTCTCGGACTTCGACCGTCGCCATTCTATCGCTTTCGCTCTTTGATTCTGGCTCCATCGAGTTGCGAAATGTGAGTCTATAGACTTGTTTCCTGTCCACCCTGAAATCCACAAGCTCTTCGTCTTCGTTGCCGGGCAGTCGTACCCGTAGTGGTCGTTTCCATGCTAGGACTGCCGCACGAGACTGGAACATTGGGAGTCCTGATGAATCGCGAAATTCGCGAGCTGGGGTGTCACCATATTTGTGGCCAGTGACGGTGAAGATGGTTGAGTCGTCCCAATATCTCTTGATGGTATATTCATTGGGTGAACGGTGGTCATATTTAGGCTTCAGGTAGAGGAGAGTTTCTTCGTCGGCAATATGTTCTGGTCTGATTCCGACAGGATTGGAGAGTGTTTTGACTGTCTTGTTTACAGGTGTATTATGGTCAGTATACATGGTGGGGGGTTTGAAGATGAAAATAGTGCAGGTCGCGACATTTCAATTTGATGGAGAAGGGATCGACATGACCCGTTTCCCCAACACGTCAGTCTTGTGATCATGGTCAATTCAAACCATTCCTGAATAGGACAGGATAGAACATGACAGGTCTATAAGGGGAAACTCCCATCTATAAACAGGAAAGTCGGAAGGTCGAATGTTACTCCAAGCTTGACCCCTCACCTGGACATTTACCCCCCTTCTAGGGAGATAAGCCAGATAAGCGCAATTTATAAAACATCACAGCCCCAGTTCTGAGGGGTTTCTAAGGGTCTAAAGTATCTGAACAATTTCTACCATGGAATATCGTTTGTGGTTGGCTGGCAAAGAGCAAGATGGGAATGCAGACCTGTGGGTAACGGCTATCTTGACACTTGAACCAGCACTGACAACTTTACAGTATTCCCATTGAAGACCCAGCAACCGGGGAGATATTCGCGCAGTAAGCTGATTGGTATAAGCTTTTGACTTTTGATTCCAGCCTTACCATTGACAGATGTCACGCAGCCTCGCCAGAAGATGTCGAGACCGCCATCTCCGCCGCACACGCAGCATACAAGTCCGGCGTATGGTCGCGCGCAAGTCGTCACCATCGTGCCGATGTATTGGACAAATGCGCAGCACTTCTCTCCGATGCGCTCCCGCAGCTCATCTCAACAGAGTCAAAGCAGACGGGTCGCGTGATTCGAGAAATGAAGGCCCAGGTCCCATCTTTGACAAGATGGTTCAAATACTATGCCTCCTTGCTAAGAGTCGAGGAGCGGTCCGTTCTACCGACGATGGGTAAACTGCATAACTTTGTCGATCGAGTGCCCCTCGGAGTGGTCGTTCAGATCACCCCGTTTAATCACCCGTTATTGATCGCGGTGAAGAAGCTTGCTCCAGCCCTTGCCGCTGGAAACAGTGTCATAATTAAGCCTAGCGAGCTGACTCCATTGACGACTCTTTTGTTGGGCAAAATCCTTCGCGAGGCCGGAATTCCAGATGGCGTGTTGAGTGTCTTACCTGGTTATGGATCTATCACCGGTAAAGCACTGGTTGAACATCCCTTGGTGAAAAAGGTGGATGTGACTGGTGGCACCGCGGCCGGCAGGGCCATTGGGAAGATTGTTGGGGGAAATCTGGCAAAATACACAGCGGAATTGGGTGGAAAGGCGCCCTTGGTCGTATTTGAGAAGGCCAACATCGATACGGCGATCAACGGAATCGTCTTTGGGAGCTTCATCGCAAGTGGACAGACGTGTGTGGCCAGCACCCGGATTATAGCGCAAAACTCCATCATGGAAGAGTTACTGCTTAAGCTCAAGGTGAAGATAGAGAGCATTACACGCCGAATTGGCGCTCCGAGTAACCCAGAATCAACCATGGGGCCACTCATCTCCGAGAAGCAGCTGCGAAATGTGGAGCGCCTAGTCAACAGCGCTCTAGATGGAGGAAATGCGGTTTCTCTCATCGGTGGGAAGCGGATGGTTTCTCAAAGCCCGCTTGACGGATTCAACTTCGAGAAGGGGTATTTTTACGAACCAACGCTACTTGCATCCAGCAAAGGAAATAACAGCATTGTGGAGACATCTATATGGCGCGAGGAGGCGTTCGGCCCTGTTATTGTCGTTGCTGGTTTCGATGCCGAGGAAGAAGCAATCGCATTGGCAAATGACAGCGAGTTTGGATTGGGAGCTGGTGTATGGACGCTTGACCTTTCCCAAGCTTTCCGAGTGTCGGAACAGATTGACGCAGGAATTACTTGGGTGAATACGCATCATCGAAATGACCCCAGCAGTCCATGGGGAGGTGCGAAGTCTGCGAGTGGAATTGGGAGCGAGAACGGAGTTGAGGCTTACAATGCCTATACAACATCGAAAAGCACAATCATAAACTATGCTTCTCCTGATGAGTCCTTGGCTGCGGATGACTGGTTTGGAGATGGCTCCGATAATGTTAGATATGGTTGAATGGAGTCATGTTGATGGTTTCTCCGGACTCGTTGCTTCATATATGTGATTAGCAGAATACTTAACAGGCAATCACATATGTTAAAAGAAGATATGTCCACCTCTACCCACCAAAAATCCAGAAAGCCAGTCCATGACCGTACTGCTTGCATATTTCAAGATGTATAGACTACAAAAATGTATGATGTCATACCCATCAGCCTGGATACTACCGAGTTGGACCTTCGTCCATTTCTTCGAATATACATCCCCCGCAAATCAATTAATTTACATGAAACACTGCTAAATCAAAGATCGACTCCAATATTCACCATGCCACTTTGGGGTCGGAAAAAAGACCAGTCCACGGGATCACCCCATACCCAAAATGGGGAAGAAGGTCAACATGCGCCAGAGCAAAGATTCGAAGAACCTACTGAGCGCTCAAGATTGCTTCCTGTAGATAGGAATGCGGGCTTCCTAAGTCCAGATGATCCTGCAGTGAGTAATAAACAAAACCATATTAAATAGCAGGCCAAAGACAAGGTATCGCTAACCCGAGAACCAGGTATCGCCCTACAATCTATGGAGCGTGCGCGCGGTGCGCGGCGTATCAGTCCTAGCATTGGCACTAAGCTTCATATGGTGGACATTCATGCTAGTTTCCATATTTGTCAGTCCACCGATGATTCATCCGCGAGGATCGGGCTTCTTTGCCTTTTCATATACCACCTTAGCGACAGGATACCTCGTGCTTGGACTGTTGTTCTTTGCCGTGCCATCCAAGTCTATGACTATATGGGCCATTACGCTTGCAGTTCTGCTGTTGGTGGACATGTGTATTATCCTTGCTGTGCCGCGAATCCGTCTTGAAGAAGGCTGGGTGGGGATCGCTTCTGTCGTTTGGGTAGCTCTGATCTCTATCTACCAGGCAATCCAAGACCGAGCGGTTGCTTGGGGTAAGCGCGAGGAGGAAGAGCGTCTTACCGGTCGAGAAGAGACTCGGCGCTCCCTGCTGGAGTGGATTGCTGTTCTCGCTGAGACCATTTTACTGGCTGCAATGGCGATCGCGGCCGTCTTGTTCACAGCGACTCTGATCTTGCGTTCTTTTGACGCTGGGCTGGAGGCTCCAGGTAAGCGCTACCTGGTGCAGGGGGATAGTTATCAAGTTCATCTCGCTTGCGTTGGGAACAAAACTGCGGATGACAAGGCGCCGACGATCCTTCTGGAGGGTGGCAATGGACCCGTCGAACATACACTGCAGCCCTTCGTCGACGATATATACGGTCGTGGCGGTATAAACAGGTACTGTTACTGGGACCGACCAGGATTCGGATGGTCTGACAATGCACCCTCGCCCCATTCCGCGGGCATGTCAATGGACGTGCTTTCAGAGGCCCTGGATCTTGCAGGAGAGACTGGTCCATGGATAGTTGTTTCCGCTGGAGTTGGCAGTCTTTATTCCAGACTTTTTGCCAGTCGCAATCTTCTCGAAGTTCGCGGCATCTTCATGATCGATCCCCTCCATGAGGCATACCTAGGTGACATTGGACGACCCGGTCGTGGATTTTTGCTCTGGATTCGTGGCATAATCTCTCCATTGGGACTGGATCGGCTTGCGGGCGCTATTTTACGCGGCCGTTCTCGACAGGACCGCGTCATTGGACGTTCGGCTTACCAGTCTGGGAAATGCATCAAAGCAAAGCTACAGGAAAGCCTCGTGGCTGTCACTATGACTGCTGCTGAGATTCATTCTTCTCGCCATATCCAGATGGGCCATGCTCCTGTAGCCATTGTGAGCTCTGGTCAAGAAGTTCAAAAAAGTCCTCAGTGGGCGGAGCGACAGGAGGAACTTTCTCATCTTACGGACAACCTTTTGTCATGGGATGTTGCTTATGATGCACCCCATGAAGTATGGAGTACTGGACAGGGACGCGAGGTATTGGAAAGACGTTTGAAGGAGCTTGTCCAAGAAAGTCAGGCGTATGAGCTTTAAGGGTCACCGGTCACTTGTATTATCTGGGAGTTTGACATCTTTATTCGGGCGTTCATGGGCAGTGTATGTAGTATTGAAGAGGGCAGGGAATTTGTCGTAATTGTGTACCATGAAATACATTCCCGAGATCGATGCTATGGCTCGGCCCACGGTTTAGTTTTTATTGGTAGATACTTAACAGGCAGAATGTAGGGTGCCAACACTTTCAAAAGAATGAAGCTATTCCCGATATAAATCTCCGTATGCACCCACTTCTCGGCGTTAAAGCTGTTGCGACCGACTAAATCTCCGTGCTGAAGCTATTCCTGCCATATAAATCTCCGTATACACCTGTTTATCGGCGTTGAAAGTGTCGTAGCCGACCAAATCTAAGGAGGTATTTTGTGCGGTCCGGGATGATTCGAAAGAACCGATGATTTGTGATTCAATTAGTACACGGTATAGAGCGGTGTCCAAAGCGGTCTATAATTCAGGCACGTAAAGGTATCAAGCCTGAGAAATTAGGCATTTAACCTTTGGCCGGTGCGTCGTGGTTCCTCGTAGTCACGCGCTACATAAACATCACTTACATGATTTTGAATTCTTCCTTCTTCAAATACCCTCTCTATAATACAATTCAGATTCAATTCAGATTCAATTCAGATTCAATTCAGATTCAGTTCAGATTCAGTTCAGATTCAGTTCAGATTCAGTTCAGATTCAGTTCAGATTCGATTTACTTTAGAAGTCCTTATGCCCATTTTAGAAGGTACTTACTACTTAGTCGCCCGTATCTATTATTATTAGTTTACCTAGGTAGGTTATTTCCTTTAATAATCTCTATAATGTTCTTAAACGCACGACTTCGGGCCTGGACCTGGTGAGCTCATCTCTCCTTATCTCCCCTCCTCCCCTCATCCCATTCTCATGTCATTCTCATCGCGTCCCATCTAATTCTGACTCATATTCTAACCGCACACACTCCTCAGGCATGTTGTCACAGAAAAGGCCGTTAAGCCCATCTGGCGAACCATCCGGGCACACTAGCCAGAAACCAGGGACGCACTCGGAACTGAAACAAAGATCTCAAGAAGAGAACGATAAAATACGATCGTATCCTTGACCCTATCCTGGTTCTACGACACAGCGTACTTGATGAATGGGCAGGACAGCTTCGCAATCCAGACGAGGCCCAGGAAAGAAATGGAGTGGCGCACGCAGGAAGTATTCAATGTTGCCGTGTTGCCGTGGTCCGTGGACATCGAAGTGATTCTCTCGATGTTCCAAGACCAACCAGAACGAGCTACGCGATGGGAGGAAACATTTTTGACCTACTACAACAGCCTACCCTATAAAGATTCACCACCTTATAAACAGGGCTCTTTGCACTCCTAACTGTAGCTGTACCAAGCGCCCAACAACCGTTCCAAGTTAGCAGGGACATTGCGCAGATGTATAAATATGCTTTAGTAAATCGATATACAATTAAAAAAAAATCATTAACGCTTGGGGTTTCAGAGTCGACTAGGATCACTGAAAATGGGCCATTTCAGCCTATAACCATCCGCCTTCACCCGCTGAAAGGTCTAGCACCAGCCCATTAAGCGGCGAAAGCAATATTGGTCATACAGGTGCTAGGGTGAAAGAGTCTACTCCAAAGAGGTGAAGCAGGTAGTGAGCCTATTGGCCACCTTCCGTCTTGGCAGCGACGGCCCGGTCCCACACTGCCTTTTAATACTGCCAGTAACAGCGTGTCACTCGATGACCTCTGCAAGGACATGAGGACATGAACATGAATATGAATACCGGCTGGAGACTCCCCCGTCTATTCTCCCAACTCACGATACTTCGACATAATCAGAACATACCGCACCGATTCCCATTCACACCAAAGACCAGCCGTCACCGCAGAGTGTCTCCATCACCATCCCTATTTCGATGCCTTTACGCCATGGCTGACTCGTCAAATGTACTAATGGAAGATATATACCACCCTGAGGTAGACGTTGAATATCTCGAGGACTATGTGCCTGGCGGATACCACCCAACTCTTATCGGAAACACCTTTTCTAGTGGCCGCTACACTGTCGTTCACAAGCTTGGGTTCGGTGGATATTCAACAATTTGGCTCGCCTGGGATGACCAACGCCGGCGCTATGTATCGCTGAAGATACTGACTGCGCGAGCCTCGCCAGATAGCCACGAGGGGGATGTCCTTCATTACCTAATGAAGAGCAACCTTTCTCATGCTGGAAAGCGGTTCATTCCGCCGCTACTTGATCAATTCTGGTTCCATGGTCCAAATGGATATCATCAGTGCTTAGTCGGAGAACCTGCTGGCGGTAGTATAGCTAAGTCTAAGGAGGACAGCACAAACTTCATGTTTCCACTGGACGCTGCTAGATCTACTGCCGCCCAGTTCCTCTTAGGGTTGTCCTATTTGCATGCAAACGGCATCTGCCACGGAGGTGAGGACAATCATGTTGTGTGTCTCGGTTTACTGACTCCGCATACTAATCAAAGGCAGATCTCTATTTGCGCAACTTTCTCTTACGCATACCAGACTTGGACGGCCTAAGCATACCTGAGCTATACCATCGCTTCGGTAAACCCTACGAGGTTCCCATCCGACGAGTGGATAGAAAGCCTGGTGAACCCCACGCACCGCCTCATGCTATCTATCCTATGAGTTTGAGTATACCTGCCAACGAAGTGCAGGACCCAGAAATCATCATTTCGGACTACGGAACGTCCTTTATCGTGTCACAGACACCCTCTCCGACTCTCTACACCCCAGCCCTCTACTCTCCACCAGAAGACCTTTTTAATGAATCCATCACTCAACCCACCGCAGCTGATATATGGACCTTAGGTGTCAACTTGTACGAGGTCTTGGGCGAGCGTCCACTTTTTGAAACATTTGCCTGGGATCGAGATGACATTGTCGCCGAGATAATCAATACACTGGGCCAACCGCCTGCGAGATGGTGGAAGTCTTGGGCTAAACGCTCCGAATTCTATGAGGAGGATGGGTCATGGGTTGCCGACTTCCGCCGTATCAGTACTCCCGTCTTCCGGCGTCTGCACCAGCGCCTCTGGGATATGGGCCGTGGCGAGACGGAACTGACGTGCGAATGGGACGTTTCAGGTGGTGAACTTCGTGCGTTGGAGGATATGCTTAGAGCTACGATGGCGTTTGAACCTGCGGAACGACCCACAGCAGACCAACTCCTGAGATCAGAGTATATGGTAAAGTGGGCTTTGCCCGCGTGGGAGAGGCAGAAAAGGCAGAAAAGCGCAGACCCTATAGATGAGGAGCAATAGGCTGTCTGCGCCCAAACAAACTGGAAGAGGAGCCGACCGATATGCCTTGCCTTAAAGTCAAGCAGTAATATGCATTGCCGTCATAGTCCGGTGTTTTGTTCGCCAGGTCACCAGGTCACCAGTTGGCGGTAATTACTGGTAAAGGTTTATCTAATAGTTATTACTAGTAGATTTTGGAAAATATTAGGTAGATCAATTTGTGGTAATTTCGAAGGATGTACTTATTCTATTGGACATCTTCAGTACTAGCCAGTACATCGATTCCTCGTCCTGACACAAAAGAGTAGAGAGTACCATTATACTCAGAATAGGCCAAAGAATCCAGAGATATCAATACTGAACCTAGGAAAGAGCTGATTGTTGAGGCTGACTGGCATCATGGCTAATGACTGCAAAATGCTAATGGTATGGCGTCCGTGGAACGTTTGTCGGTTGCTGCCTGGATTCTTGCTGCCGCTCATGTCCACATGATGCACATTGTTGAGGATTTTGACGTGGCCCATTCGAGTCTCTGATAGACGTCAGTTGATAATTCTCGACTGGACCATAGTGTCTTGGGAGTACCGACTTACCCAAGAAGCTTCTTCGTGACGAAGTAGCCAACAGTGCCGAATAGACCGATCTTGAGAAGCGCCATCCCTCTTCTGGGTCCGTATGTTTGCAACGGAAACTTGGCTCGAGCAAAGACTTGTCTGGCATGAAATCGACTGAATCGACGAGTAGGATAGTCCATGATTTGTTATTGAATGATTTCTTAAAACCTCGCAGGTGGACGACGAATGTTTATAGGTAAAAGCATTCAAGCCGAGTCCGGAACTCCGAGGCCGATCGGGGTCGGCTTTCCTTTTGAATAGCTCGGCCGCGGACTCGGCCTCGGGTGTGTAGCAGCGCCTTTGCGTACATCACCAACGAACAGCATCGGACGTCCGATCTTTTACTCGACGTCGGACATTGCTAGTGACAGCATGTATGTCCGACCTCCTTTCATACTCAGAACTTGGCCTCGTGCCAGAGGTATATAGCACTGGCCATATTCCTTAGAATCGGACTCGTTATGTTATTCAAGTCGACGTCACAAGCAAAACTATCTTTTGCGCGCCCTATCAAGCACCCCACAGCAACTATGCACGATGACCGCACCGCTGAGCTCGAGAAGGGCAGTCCAACCTCTTCAAGACCATCGAGTCCAGCGGAGCCCAAGCCTCAAGCATCTGGCCCACCAGCAGCACCTGAAGGAGGCACAAAAGCCTACCTATCGCTACTCGGAGGCTCCTTGGGTCTTTTTATCTCATTTGGATGGGTCAATTGCATTGGTCTGTTCCAAGCTGAATATGAGACCAACCAGTTGAAGACCTATAGCAGCTCGGAGGTGTCCTGGATCACATCGTCCGAATGTGAGAGCTTTCTTCCCCAACCGGCCGTGAAACAACAAGCTCATTTCAATCTAGTTTTCTTCATGCTGTTCATGTCACCGTTGTCTGGATATCTATTCGACAACTATGGACCACGATTGCCGATCTGTATCGGTGGATTGATGCATGTGTTTGGCCTCATGATGACCAGCTTGTCAAGCAAATACTACCAATTCTACTTGGCACAGTCGATTTGCTCAGGGACCGGCACATCGCTCATTTTCACTCCGGCAATGACTTCGGTTTGTGTCATCACTCTTGGAATTTATCGCGCATTTTCTCACAAGCTTCACAGCCTATGACTTACTTCGGAAAGCGCCGCGCTTTGGCAGGAGGATTGACCGTTGCAGGCTCGAGTCTGGGTGGTGTAATCTTTCCCCTCATGGTCAACAACCTCCTTTCGGAGGTCGGCTTTGCATGGACGATGCGAATCTGTGCTTTCTTGATCCTTGGCCTCTGGGCTATTTCCATGCTCACCATCTCCTCCAACTTGCCTCACACTCGCAAGGAGTTCAACCTTGCGAACTACCTTCGGCCTTTCACGGAATTCAACTTCTTGATCTTGTTGACGTTCTGCTTTTTCCTTTACTGTGAGCGGCCTATCATTATGTTTCATCGTAACACAGCTAACCAGGGTTTAGGGGGATTGTTTGTCCCTTTCGACTACCTTGTCCTGTCTGCTATACATAACGGAATGTCAATGACTATGGCCTACAATCTGATTCCCATCATGAACGGAGCGAGCTTTTTTGGACGTACGATTCCCAATGGCCTTGCCGACAAATACGGCCGTTTCAATGTGCTTATTATAATGCTCCTTTTCACTGGTGTCATCACTCTGGCCTTGTGGTTGCCTGGTCGCAGTAACGCGGCCAACATTATCTTCGCCGCTTTGTTTGGTATCGGATCTGGCACCGCCATTGGCTTGACACCGCCCCTTGTGATGACTCTCTATCCACCTCAGGAGATCGGGTTTCGAATCGGGTTGGCTCTTGCTATCGCAGGCATTGGTGCCCTTACGAGCCCTCCGATTGCTGGTGCAATTGCAGGGACAGATGGAGGCTCTTTCCGCTTTGCGGCTTTGTTCAGTGGCGTGAACTTCATGGTCGCGACAATCCTTTTGGTGTGGCTGAGGGGTAGAGTTTCTGGTTGGAATGCCCTCACAAAAGCTTGATGTCTAGGCAAGGGCACTGAGCGCAGCAGCCTGCTGCAACTACAACATCTGGTGAAGAAGAGGAGACTGGTGTAAGGCACTAATAAGGTCTTGTGACATTTTGACTGTGAAAAATAGGTCTTACCTAGGGGGGAAATTAGTGACAAAAAGATAAAATGGGCAACGAATTTCAGATAGACCGATGATTATGCTTATCGAAAGCAGTCGAAATTATATAATCATACTCCGCAGGTGGGAGTTGAAAATAAATCTGGAAGACAGTATTCCTTTAAAGATCCGTTTGATGAATGAGACTCATGCGTTCCGAATTTGGGATGCTTGTCTTGTCCTCGTGCGGCCTGATGGATTTTCAGCGTGGCGCTCAGATAGTCTGGACAAGGTGCACAATGCATCACAAGTGTTGCTTCAAGCAATAGGTCATACCTCACCTTTGTAAGCAAACCCTCCCGAGACAGAGACGATCGAACATAGAACGGAATGGAAAGAATTGACCTCAATTAATCACAATCTTCATCTCGCGACGTAAATCGTCCTGTGAACTTGCTCTATCAAATAGTTGGAACCAAAAAGGCCGAAAAGTCCAGGTACCTGGAGTCCTGACTTCAGTCAGTAGTGCTATGTAGGAGGGGCATATTTGGTAATTTGTACTTACCATTGCGCCAAAATCCAGGCCGTCAAGAAGCTCATTATCGATCACGTCTTGCGACACTTCTCGGGGGGTGTTGGCGGCCCTGTAGGACTGTAGTACATCGTAACACTCCTTCAGGCTGTCCTTTGCAGTGTTCAGCACAGTAGACAAAATGGGTTGGCCGCGTTCCATGGCGTATATCTGGGAAAGAATGCCAGCAAGAAAAATGTAGCGTTTCAACGTAGGATGGCCCAACTTTACGATCTGCAGTAATTGTTCGTTGATGTGTTCTAAAAGTCGAATGATGGGCGCTCGCTGGCCGCGCGCCAGTTCAGCGAGAGGATCGAGGACCAATGTGTGGTCGAGACCAACCGAGGCAGATGACGGACCGGAACCCGTTTCCTCCAGCTGAGATACAACCTCCAAGCCCAAGACTGAAATTACGTCCAGGCTCAAAGGTCCGCGAAATGACCCTGTGCTCATCACCATCAACTTGGACAGATCGTCAAGAGAGTCTGCAGGTAGCCGAAGTCGCTCGGCATAAGTGGCGATAATCATTGCAGACTCCTGACAAACCCTCCGGGAAAAGTAGAAGCGGGGATCCTTTTGCGCTTGTAGCATGAAAGGCCGATGCAGAACCAGAATATACCGACGTATCTGCATATCAAGGAAAGCGTGATGCATGCTTAGGAATTGCGACCAATGCAACCGAAAATAGCTTGCAAGAGTACGGCAAACTGTCTGAAGTTTCGTAGCTAGCTCAATGGCCATTTCGTATGAGTGCTCTAATCGCTCGTTTTGGACCGCCCTGACAACTTCAAGTCGTATCGGCAGGGACTGACGCATGAGAATTTGTATCGACGATTCCGTATAGCTTGTCAACGGTTTTGGAGATGGAGACTGTTTGCTGGTTGAATCTAAATCAGCATCGCTGACATTAAGAGGCATATGATCGTCAAAGTCGTTTGAAGAAAGAAGCAAAGGGATGGAACAGTCCATGGAACCGTGAATTACGAGCTCTAGGACTGTTGTCCAAAGCCTCCCTCGTATCCCGGCTTGAAAAGGAGACAGAGAAAACAGTTGTGGATCTCGGTGCAGGCCCATAGCCATAGCCGCCCGAAGTAGACCACTTTCCGACAGCCACGGTGAACGGCCGACTAATGTTATCTGCCGCGAAACCAATAGAAGACAGAAAATTTGAATTCCATCAAGATTGTTAGTAGTTTTCTCTGACGGTCCAACCATCCAGTATTGAGCAGCTTGTATCCAAGTACGCCGCGAGCGCCGTAGAACTTTGTCGTCGTCGTTGCTGAAGACGCTTCCAATGGCCAACACCAAACCCAACTTGATTGCAAAGTTTGTAACTACAGGCTGCGGCTGGCTGAAGTATTGTTCATATTCTGCCCAGAATGTGGGAATGTGAAAACAACGATAGATCAACTCGAAAGTCCGCATGTAGTGATTCACTAGTCGGTCACAGATGGAACGAGCCGGCATTGTACTCAGAAGTTGAGGAACGGGGTCATGCATCTGCGGTGCCTGCTCATTTTTCATCGTGAGTCGCAAGTTGCGTATCTCATTCACCGAATCGGCCAGCTCGGCCTTGGTATCCACGAAGGTCAATTCAACGTCACTGTCTCCAACATGGCTGACTCTGAACTATTGACACGTCAGCCAATGTTCAATCAGTCAATGTGCTCATTAGAAAGGATGTTCGACGATACCTTCTCAGCAGTGTGCAGCCAGTGGCTCGAAGGAAACAGTTTTACCTTCTTCGGGTTGTGACGAAGTCGAGGGATGACAGACGGAATTGTTAGAGAATTATCGCCCGTGACAGCTGAAGGCACAGGACGAGCTTGAGAGAGCTCAGCAAGCCGCTGCTCGACGTGTTGGAGGCGATCAGACAATGCCAGGAGAGTGAGATGATTGTTGCTGCTGCTGCTGAGGCTGTGCTGCTGGGGATCGACTTCTGGTACAACAGAGTGCTCAAGCTGCTGTACACGTCGCTCTACGCTCCGAATTAGTTCCGATTCATTCGTTTTTCGTTGCCTCTTTGCAGGGTGGTCGATGTTGTTGTTTGGGGCAATGCTGAGCGAGCGAGGAACTTGTTGTTGGACGTTATTGTCCTCACTTCCACGGTCTTCCAGGGCGGGACTGGATTGCTGCTGATCTCCTTGATATGTGCACGTCACCGAGTTTCTGGAGACTTGACAGGCTGAACATGGCGATTTGAGATCGCAACGTACCTTTCGGCGGCGGCACGGGCCGCAGGATTGCACAGGTCGGCTCCGACGAGCGAGTGAAGGTGCTGACCGGGTACTGCCAAAGCTCTGGTCCTCAGCCATCTTGATGACAGTCCAAATTGCAGGTATTGAATGCGCGGTCAACGGACATCAATTGGAAAGGTCGGAGGGAAAGCTCGGGGTCGGCTGAAGTGATCTTGCTCTCGGACTCGGGCCCGGGTCCGGGCTCGGGGCTCGGACATAAAGCCCACTCCTCTAATAAACGTTCGCCGACCAACTCAACCTCCTCAGAGTACGAGTATTTTCATACATATGTACAACCCTTATTGGTGTCAACCGCTAGGCTGCGAATCCCTTGCCGATCATTGATGACACAATGTCGTCGCTTTCGATCGGATATAGCCTTCGCTCCTAGGTGTCAGGACCAGGGATTATATAAGCTTTCTTTTCCCCTGCCAAGTCTTTTCTCGACTCAGAATCCCCTCAGGAAGGACCCAGATGGGGGACCTGGGCAGATTGTCAAATTCAGAGGGCAATTGATTTTAGTTGGAGAATTTTACCAATTTTTTATTCTTACCAGTACGCTCGCCATATCTTGATTTCTGTTAGTTATAAGCCCGGTATGGCTTCAATGTTAATCTCCTATCAGCTTTACCCCAAATTAATGATGATCTTCTCCAAACGAATTAATAATCACGTCTCTTATCATGGAGCTGAGGAGTTACCGGTCCGGGTATAAAAGTTGGGGTGTACGTTGTCCTGAATTGGCTACCCACCGAGTGCAAAATACTTTGGTGTCGCCTCTAGTCATGGCAATCTTGAAATTGAAAGCTGTGGCTCTAGCCATCTTTGCGCTTTGCACGGCTCCCACCGGTAAAGGCAGCTCCCAACGATCCAAATTGGTATATCTAACGTGTTTCAGCTGCCGAATGCAGCTATCCGGACCTTCTAACCGCCACTGCCACTGAGCTCCAGGATGGACTGGTGGCTGGGTGCTTTACAAGCGTGGATCTGGTTGATGTAGGCACTACCCCCACCCGGTATAAGACCTCAGGACTGAAATATTCCAGACATACGTCAAGCGCAATGAAGAGGTCAATTCCACCGTCCGCGCCGTTGTTGAAATTAATCCGGATGCGTGGAAAATTGCCCGGGTCTTGGACGACGAGCGGAAAAATGGAACCTTAAGAGGGTACGTACAAACACTTTGATGGGTCTTATGTCTTGGGTACGTGTGAGTGGGCGACTGACTTGTCTATTCCTCTAAGACCTCTCCATGGCCTCCCAATTCTGATCAAGAATAATATCGCTACCGGTGATAAGATGCAAACGAATGGTAGGATGCCGTTGCATCGAGATATGAAACTTTACTAACAAACGGCCCCAGCTGGATCATACGCCTTAATGGATGCGAAACCAGTTTCTGATTCCGCCATTGCGGCAAAGCTGCGCAAAGCCGGCGCAATCATCCTCGGCAAGACGAATCTCTCTCAGTGGGCCAACTACCGTTCCGGCAACTCATCTAATGGATGGAGCGCCTGGGGCGGACAGGTCATCGCAGCCCATGTCCCGAACCAGGATCCCAGCGGATCGTCCAGCGGAAGCGGCGTTGCAGCTGATCTTGGACTTGCTTATGCTTGCTTGGGAACAGAGGTATGCTTTCTCTTTCTTCACACCAGCGACATCTTGAAAAATGCCTAATGCGACAAGTAGACATCCGGAAGTATCACCAGCCCCAGTGAAAATAGTGGGCTTGTCGGCATCAAGCCTACTGTCGGACTGACGTCTCGCTACCTCGTCATTCCCATCAGTGAGCACCAAGACACCATCGGTCCAATGACACGAACGGTAGAAGATGCCGCTTTGGTCCTCCAGGCTATTGCCGGCCGAGACAGTCATGATAACTATACTCTCGCCGCGCCGTATAAGCACCGAGCCCCCGACTACGTCAAGCACTGTAAAAAGAACGGCCTGGAGGGAAAGCGGATCGGCATCCCACAGAATGTCCTTGACTTGAGTTACGACAGCTCAATGGCACCCTACTACGCTGCATTCGAGGCCGCGGTTAATGACCTCAGAGATGCCGGTGCCACCATTGTCAACACGACCTTCACGGCGTACGAGGAATTCATTAACGACGGTAGTGAGACTGTCCTCCACGCGGACTTTATCAGCGGACTGGCCGATTATCTTTCTAACCTGAAGACAAACCCCCACCATGTACACAATCTCAAAGAAGTCCAGTCCTTCACGCACCGGTATGCCCTCGAGGAGTGGCCAACTCGAAACACCGCGATATGGGATGAAGCCCTCCAAGCCGGGATAAACAACACCTCGCCTGAGTTCTGGCCTCGGTACGTGAAAAACCTCTACTACGGGGGCGAAGGAGGCGTGTTCGGAGCGATCAACAGGGACCACCTCGACGCAGTTGTGCTACCGACCAACCTGGGACATCCAGTTTCGGCAGTCGTCGGCGGACCCGTCATCACTGTGCCGATGGGTGCGTACCCTATAGGAACTCCTGTGCAGGTGAGTCCACCGTGGAATCTTACCTCGGTGGCACCTGGTGTCCCTATGGGTCTTGGATTCATGGGGTTGAAATGGAGTGAGCCGGCTCTCATTGAGATGGCCTATGCGTTTGAGCAGAAAACCCAGGCTCGGAAGACATTTGACCACTATATTGTACCGAAGACACAGTTGAAGATGGCGTAATTGTCAACAAAGACTGTATATACATACATAGAGACAGAAATATCCATTAAGGATATTATTTCCAGTGTACAGTGACCATATGATTAAATACCATAACATAGACCATTATACATTGTGCCGCGTCACAAAGTACACAAAGCAAGAGTGGCCGACTGCTTGCACTATCTTTTCCTGAATATCCCTAGTACAGAAGTATAGTTCACTTCACGACCGCTTCTGGCGAAGCTCCCACTCATAAGAAGCAAGCAAGAAAGGACCGACGCCTCTCGTATCATTCGGGACGACTGGAATGTCGGTGTAGTACTGCATACCGGTCAGATCTTGCACATTCATATACCTATTTTGCCAAAGCCTTACCTCAAAACTGGCATCACTGTTCAGCGAGCCAACCTCTACCGTTCCCTCCCAGGTCAACGTTCCATTCTTGTGCTTTGTCACAAAGTCATCAATCAGGTGGTTATACGCTCTCGCTGCGGGCCGTCCATAGGTCCTTTCATCAATAAAGCCTCTTCGCAAACCGGCAAGCCAACCATAGGCGAACATTGCTGCAGCGGAGCTCTCAAAGAAGTTACCCTTTCTATCAACATACCCTTTGCTCAGGATTAGTTTCCAGCCATGGACCTCTGGGTCCTGCGCATGGAGAAGGCCCCGGGCGAGTCTCTTATAGTAACCCAACAGCCGTTGGTATCCCTCAAGATGCTTGGGATAGATATCAAGGATCTCAATCAGGGAGACAAAATACCATCCGACACCGCGGTTCCAGACGAGTGGCGCCGCACCATCCACCGGGTCCGCCCATACAGCCGTCTTGCTTTCGTCGAAGCCATGCACAAGCAGACCAGTCGGCTCATCTCTCGTAGCAGCCTCTATCTTATCCCACTGCAGCACGATATCCTCCCAGGCCGTGACATTCTGCGCATCGAACAACGCCGTCCATTTTGCGTAGAACACATCCGCCATGAAAATCCCATCCAGCCACATCTGATTCGCATAGATCGGGGCCCGGTGCCAGAACCCGCCTGTCGGCGTGCGTGGGTGTCGGTCCAGCATCGCCCGGATGCGATCCGCAGCAAGCCGGTACTTCTCCTCCCCTGAGCGCTCGTACCAGTGTAAGAAATTGTTGCCGATCCGGTAGTCGTCGAGCGAGTAGTATGTCTCGTTGAAGTCGATGATTGTACCGTCAGGAGTGATCAGGTCGTCGATTTGCGTGTGGTACCAGTCCAGCAGGGTCTCGTTGCCGTACAGTGAATAGGCTGCCTCGTAGCCTTCGTAGATGGTTGCGCGTCCGTACCAGTATGGACCTTCATGTTCCTGGTTGTTGAGGATCCAGGAATCGGCCATCCAGGAGAGGTAAGACCGCGCTGCCGCCGGGGAGGCGGCTAGGAGGGAGAGAGCGAGGAGCTTCATCGGGGCTACTTGCAGAGGATGATGCTGATGTGGGAATGTCAAAGGTATCGTAGGAGGCCTTCATATTTTATATAGATACATAGAAACTCCGGTGGAATTCAATCTCAATCAATGAATACGAGTGTAGGCCCCTCAAATTATCCGGACAAGACGGACAAGACGGACAGGCGAAGTGGCTGTGCTCATTCACACGAATAGAATGGGAGTAATTCCCCATGATAACTTGGAGACATCTTGGCTCTTTTTGGCAAGTATTACTTACTTTAGTGACTGGCGTACGACTGGCGGGAAATCTACCCCAGACTGCGCAGAAATTCTCCGGTGCGGGGAATAATCCATCTTAATCCATCCCGAGGTTATTATTGATTATTGGCTGATCTATCGCAGAAAGTTCAATGCGTTCGGCAGTTGAATGCAACAGCTAGTTAACACCCCCTGCTAGTTAAGAAATGCGGCTGAAAGTTTACGAAGCTCTACACGAAGCTCTGAAATTGGTTGATCCCTGTTGACGAGGATTGAGAGGAAGCGAGGTTGAAACATCTAGCACTAGAACCTGTGCCTGAAAACATCGAAAGAAAAGAAGATGGTGGAAGGGTCTAAACGGCCTCTCGCACACAGCTTACTAAATGTCCCGGAGCAGTCCAGTCGGGCATTACAGTTGTTTCAGCAGCATCAAGTAACAAAGCATTTGATTACTTAGGTATGGTTTACGCTATGCTGTCCTATACATATTGAGACGAGAGCATCAGTGAATTATCTAATTACAGCACACTCCATGGCTGTAAGACGCGTAAGACGCAACCTGGATTTCGAGTGGTATATTCGTCGAAAAGCAATGATATCGGGCAGAGCTTTAGCCTGCTATAACTAGCCGACAGGCCCACGGGCCTTCTAACTTCCATTCCCGCACCATCAAATCTCCATCTCGGGCCCGGGAATCGACAATATCTCGGAGGAAAAGGTGACGAAAAAAATGCCTCGCTCGTAACTTTTAGGGTAACACGGTGGGGGAGAGCGGAACCGAAGGGTCTAGGGGAAGTGCGATGAAAACCGAGCGGGAAAAAGACGAAACCCGTCACTCTAGACTAGCTCCCTTAAACCTCTTAGCAAGCTGGTCACTCTCGGGACTGGGAGACAAGGACCGGGGTAGGGCATGGGGTGGGGAGTTGCGACGTTTCCGGGTTTGGGAATCCGAGCGAGAAGGCTCAGCCGGTGTGGGCCAGGGGCGCTTAGGGGGGGCGCTCACCACTCTCTTGAAGAATTGTCATCAACGTGGCCCATCCTGGGGTATTCACGAGCTGCATGCCCTCGACGGGGGACTTTGTTCTGGCGACGCGACAGAGCAGCGATTCCTCATCCTACTCGAGAATGCGAGTTAGCGCCACATACACAAGATAAAAAGATGCACAATATAAGACTGACCATGCTAAATGTGCCCACTCCATGCAAGAAGCACAGAATGTGGAAGTCCGAAACGCCTTGGATAGCTTTATCGGGATCACCATGGGACGTTAGTTTCTGGGCAACGTGTTGAAGCTCTTGGCTCTCGCCGATGACTTCACGGTTCTCGATAGGGAATCGACTGTTGGTGAATAACGGGGATGACTCTGTTGGGAATCCGTGGGTAAGGGTGACTAGTAGGAAATCGACTGGGAAACTCGGCTCAGCGCTCTCCTGTACGCTTGCACCGTACTCATTAATTCGTCGGTAGAAGACTTCGGGGATGTATCGTGTCCTGTTTCCGAGATCTTCGTCATGCTCTGATTGCACCAGCATGACGGTCGGGTCCGCTGAGGGCTCGACTATATCTCCTCGAACCATCTCAACTGCAGACACGGATGCTTGGTACGAGCTGATAGCAATCGCACCTGTCTCGTCTCCGCTGAGCACACACGTCACGAAATCTGAGCCGAACTGTCCTGTCCGGCTCCATTTCGTTGACTTGGGGTTTTGTGCCTGGAGTCGTGCAGCGAAGGCAATTTCGAGTGAAGACAAGAAGTATGAGTCGATGTGCCGCTTGCAAACAACTGACCCATCCCCACGGCCGCCATCAATCAAGTCAGTAAAGATGACACCAACCTTCTGCAATCCGCAGAGACGGGCTACCTCGTCCACTTCCTTTTCGTTGTGCCAGTCATGAAGCGTTACGCCATCGAGTTCGCCCGTTTGCGGGGGCTCATAGATTGCTTCCACAACAGCCTTGACGCCTAGTGGTACTTCGGTGTATTCCTCATATGTCCCATACAGGAAACCCAGTCGTTGAGCACCTGACTTTCGCCAAAAATCAAGGAGAGAATTGATTAAATCAGGAGATGAGAACTCCACGTGGTCTACCATGCGGAATTCCTGGGGTTGTAGACTGATTGCGCTTGGTTGACATTTGGTGCAAATGCCCTCCGGCCAAGGGGAATGCCCAGATGGGCAGTCGGTTCGCACCCGGTAATATGGTTCATTGAGTGGAGGCATGAACGAAGTTCCCATTTCGGGCTTGTTGGTCGCGGCATTGATTTTCCGCAGGTATGAGTGGAAAGAAAGGTGCTTGATCTTCTTCTCTGCCATGTTGTTCGCATCGTAAGGCTCGAGTGGCATGCAATAATCACACATGCCTCGGGGACCGTGCCTGCACATTTTGTGGTCCATGCCACGCTTGATCTTTCCATCTTTCTTGTCTAGGAGATTGTCCAGAGGTGACTGCTGCACTAGCTCCCACGGGTTCTTGGTTGGAGCGGAGGAACTTGGCTGAGGACGGATCGGGACTGTTTGTTGCTTGGGAATCGGTGCTCCATTCAGTCGGTGTTCTGTAGTGGTAGATGTGGTGCCGTTTAAGGGTCTATTTTGTTGTGTCTGTTCTTGGTACCCAATGAAGAGCTTATCCCCATGCCTTCAAGTCAGCGGAGCGTGAGTAATTCAATCTCTAGAGGCCAATATAACATTCGACACTTACTTCAGCCCAACCTGTTGAAGCGAAACCCCTTGTAGGCCTTGCAATAATCTCTCCTCACCACCTGTGCCGATCGGTTTATTTGAGAGGGCAATGGATGACGGTTCGACATTTGACGGGAGGTGTTCTAGAATCTAATAGCGGTTTCCAGATTAGCATTTGGCTCTAACCCTGCTATCACTCCCTTCTGACCAAGTGTGGAGAAATACCTTTTTTTGAAGTGATGGAAAGAGTTCCTCCGGGCTAACCGTAAGTCGAAATTGGCCGTTTCGACTCTCGAATCGCAGAAGAATGGAGGTCATCCTAGCTCTGATAAAACTAGAGCACAGTTGAAGAGAAAGATGGAGACTTAGTGGTTTCCCTTTCTGTAGTACACACGTGGAAGAAGAAGACCTAAGAAGGCGAATGCAAATGAAAGAAGAAGCTCGACTCGAAGCCTCCCTGGTCACGTCACAGCTGGCGGGCCGTATGGTATCGTACCCTGGATGACAAAACACCCCGCGGTCGGCTGTGGAGTTTTGGGCGAGGTGTCCGTAAAGTTGTTACGGATAGTTACAGAGCTTTATGAATGTACATTAGGAAAACTATGTATTTATTCACCTATAAGCCCATAAAATGGATTATTTGTACCAAAGTAGCCTTTAGCTATTAATATGTGAGGCTTTCGTATTGATTCAGTGCATGGTTAATCATCATTTGCGCGAGCAACCTCAAGAAGTATCCCGAAAATGTAAAGGAAGATTGGCCAGTTTGTTATAGTAAATGGCACACATTTTCCCCTTTTCTTCACTTTCGTTTTATCTTTTTGATTAGCTGTTTGTGTTTGCTTTTTTTATTAACTAGTTAGATTCCATTGTCCTCATTTGATCACTAGAAATAATCGATATTGGGAGGCCGCTAACAAATCGTTGTCGGTACCTGCTGGCCTTGCGCTTGCTATGAACAGAAAGTTATCAGGGAACACATTGGCTCGGGGGTTTAAGCGGAGTGACAAGAAGAAACAAAATATTGGTTGCTTTATGATCTTTATATGTGTGTGACATAACTATTTATATATTTGATATCATAGACCGACTTGCGCTAACTAACTAGTTATAGACAGATAACCAAGGTGACTGTGCTTACTCTCTTAGCTGAATTGTAATATAAGCTTATTGGATTCCTCATAGAGACTGCTGTCATACCGAGTGAAGTCTCACTGTCTATATTGTATTTGATTATTTAAATGCATATATGTACGAGGTTTTATACACTATTCGTGGAGGTATTAGGGTAGTGAGCATGCGGACAGCAGCTTGTTGCTAATACAAAACACCTCCGATAGTCAACATTAAGTGTAATAGGTTCTATCCTTCCATGACTTGGGACTTGGGTTTTAAGTCTTTCCGCCTAAGCAGCGAGATCCGCCCTCCAATCCCTTGCTGGCCCGGCGATAGGAAGAAGGGCGCCAAAGAGCAGTTGTCTTGTAGTTAAAGTTGCTTTGCGAATGCCACATCCGCCATATGAGAGCCAACTAAAAGATTGGATAGGTATATGGAAGTAAAGCGCTAGTTAGTGGGAGTAATAAGCATTTATCACCCGCGGAGAAGTTCTAGTTACATGTTTTGTTTGGAAAATGGGGGACATAGACACATACCCGTGGACCTTATGGAATGCGAATCATCCATACAGCATGGGTGGGTATAGAAAATTGAATATCTACGAGTTACTATGAGCTTTTGCAAAAGCAATTGACAATTCTTCCAAAAATTTCTTCCATTAGGCTAGATATAATTGGGTGTTGAAAAATGAAAATGGTATGTCCGTATCATCATAAAGAAGTCGAAACGCCGAGAGAACGCCCCAGGGAGAACAGCCGAAAACCAGAGAACGCAAGAGTAGAGCCATGGGTTTAATCAAAGAATGGTACATTTCTTAGGCAAACCGCATGGCCCCTCATTGCTCTTCTCCTTCTTGGCTGGCTCCTGAGTACCCCGTTGCTCATTAGGAGGCTGCTCGGTCTTTCGGCCGGCTTCCTGAGCAACAGGAGTCGAGCTTTCCGGCTGCGACTCGGTACTACCATGGAGTCACTGGACCTTGGAAACGGTCTCGTAGAAGGCCTTGCCCTGAGCGGTGGCAACCTCGAGCTCAAGCGCGGAGGGCTTGCGGGAACCGTCGGCACCCTGTAGACGTGTGATAGTCAGAAAGAAGAAACGTATCGAAGTGGGTCTATCGGGTTAACTTACAGCGAAGGTACCAGCGCCCCAGGCGCTACCACCGTGAACCTCGTCCAAGTTGCTCAGCTGGGCGAAGACGGTCTTGTAGCCCAGGGGAACGTAGATGAAGCCGTGGTGGGCGAGAGTGCTCATTGAGGCAAGAGCAGTGGACTCCTGACCACCACCCTGGGTACCGGTGGAGACGAAGAGACCGGCGTACTTGCCCCAGAAGCCACCAGTGGCCCAGATGCCACCGGTCTTGTCCCAGAAGGTCTTCCACTGGGCAGGGAAGTTACCGTAACGGGTAGGGATACCGAACAGAACAGCGTCGAAGGCGAGGAGATCGGCGGGCTCAATAATGGGGTAGCTAGCCTTGGGGGGAGCGTGCATCTTGGCCAAAACTTCCTCGTTGAGGGTTTCGGCGATCCTAGAGACATAAATGTTAATCAAATGACATAAAAAGGGTAACGGTAGTGGAGTGACTGACTGGAAGATCTCGGCCTGGCCACCAGCGGACTCAATGCCCTTCTTCTCGGCCTCGGCCAAGGCCTGGATGTGGCCGTACATGGAGTACTATTTGGACAATTAGTGAGATGGTAGATGAGTATGTTGCCATTGGAAGACGTACATAGACAATTGCAACCTTGGGAGCCATGATGACGGTTTAGAGATTTGTAGAGTGAATGTAGAAAGAATGAGAGATGAAGAGCAGCGGGGAGGGAAGCTAATTATAAAGGGTACACACCCCACCGGGGAGAATGTGTTAGGTACCTCATCCACCATATTAATTAGTATGTGGTTCCAAGTACCTCTATGATTAGCTGCACATCAGTCACCGATGACAGAGCACCTGAGGATGGAATATGATTGGCTAAAAAAGATCCACTCGGATATAGTTTTGGCTTTAGTGATTCTGACTGAACACTGACAAATATGACCTCGGGGGAATTTTACCCACTAAGAATGGATGTGGGTGTATAGAGTTACGATTCGTAACCATTTGTAAAAAAATTGTAAATTCGTCCGGATTCTACCAGAAGGATATTGCTTTGCCAATAACGGAAATTAAGTGTGAGGATATACCCGTGAACGTTTCGACAGTCCTTATCATGATGTCATGAAGTCCCTTGATTTCTTCACTGTGTTCACCACACAAGTTACATTGGCGTATTTAGGTCCAGTGGCCGAATATTAAACACGAAGAGGCATTTGGTTTCACGGCAAAAGTTTATCATTGCCAGGTTAAGCCAGTATAGCAGATGGCAGACATAATACAGCAAGGGTGAAACAAGGATGTCTCCCTGCTAACACCAATTATGCCATTGAGCTCAATTGAGGAAAAAAAAAAAAGAAAGGATGAATATTTTTGTGTCAAATTCAATGGGGGTATCGCGGGACTAGCGCAAGAACCATAAACGAAAAGAAACCAAGCCGTGGACCCCTTGTTGAAGCCACACCTCACTCCATGCCATGCAATATCGCCAAAAAAAACCCCACCTAACCCCTTCCACGCCCGCGGAAGCGACCACGCCCAAATCCACCACCCCGACCACGTTCGTTTCGCCATTCTCGTTCCCGTTCTTTTTCCCGTTCTTGTTCTTCACGGATGAGAACTCGTTCATGCTCGAGTTCTTCCTCTGTCTTTTCAGTGCGCATTGTAGGCCGTGGTAGATTCTCCGGCCAGCGAGGGTGAGCATCGGTACACGCTTTTCCATCAGGGCAGAAACCAGCAAGGTAAAAGGTACATAGACGTCGACGGACATGTCGCTTTGCACATAGTGGCCCCAATTCGCAATATCCGCGGTCGTAGTGCTCGCAAGGCGGCAGGCGTGCCTCCTCGCGGACATGTTGGTAAAGGCAATCGTCACCATTGGTGCAGTATCCGGATCGCGAAAATGACTGGCATTCTGGCATTCGTCGAAGATTATATTCGTGGAGGTATTCGCATTTCAGACCTTTTTTGCATAATCCCTTGAGGAAATGTTTGCAAACCAGCGATCCGTGTGTTGTAGATGGCGCCATTCCGGATGCTGTGGTAGTCGAGGTCGTCACACGGGACGGAGTGGGATGGCGATCTGGACAAGCAGGTCCTAATGGGCAGTGTCCTTCACTATAAGCTTTGCAGACAGGTACATCGCTAGCGAGTCCGAAGCCAAAGCTCTTGCGCAGAAACGGTGTGAAAGAAAATTCATTGTAGCTAGGATCACGCGTCGGTTCGGCGGATATGATATGCGCAACTGCGCTTTCGGGGTCGGCAGCCATGGCTCAATGAAGCTGATGCGACAGGTAAAGCGTGGAGGGTCAAGAGAGGATCGGTGGTCGTCGCGAGTCAGGTGCGTGTATTCGACTGACTATGCCCGCCTCTTTGTGGATGGAATTTTGAGGGTTGCAGAGAGGGTTAATTCTCGATATATTTCAGCTCAAATTGGCATGGAGAAGGATATTCAAAGGAAGAAGTCTTAGTTGTTGAAGGTTGCGGAGCTGTCCAGGTTGTTCTCCAGTTGTCGCCTTAGAAATTAGGTGGCAAACTCGTGTTTGACTTGTTTGCACTTTGGCCATCTACCGATTGATACATTAATACTCCCGAGTGTCATACTGTTCGTCTCTTGGCAAATATGTGATTATACGCCGAAAGGGAGACAAGTATACATAAATCGGTAGACATGGGAAAACAGACGCAACAAGGACGGCAGCGAACTAAAGCCCAACATCCAATCCAATTGCTATCTATTTGAAATTGAGACTACCACTGATAAAATTCGAAGTACTATTATTGACCTATAAAAATGTGGTTCGACAGAGCATGTTTACACGAACCCGAGCTGCTGGTCCATCACATCCCGCACCATTGACTCGAATGAGCGCCATTGAATCCCGAGATCTGTCTCCGCTTTAGTCACATCAACTGGGAACGAGACACCCTGGAAATCCTCAGAGATCAATGCCCCAGCATCCGGGTAAAGTCTGTGCACAATGCGCGCAATCTCAGGGCCCGTCGTCTTCGGGCCGGCCAGGAGATATTTCGAGCCGTCCACGATCTTAGGATCGAGTGCTTTGATGTGCGCTTCGGCCACATCTTGAACATGCACCCCTACCATATTTCTAGTGGGATCGGCCTTCATTATGAGATCCCACAGACCACTGTTAGACCCCGCGTTGACTCCGCCGGCGGAAATCTGAACAAGATTGCGGCCATATACAAACGCAGGATTCAATGTCACCAATGCATAGTGTGGCTTGGCTGTTGCCCGGAACTCCCAAGTTGCGTTGTCTGCAAGAAGTTTAGAGGCGTGATACAGTCGCATTGGTGTTGCAGCCGGGGTTTGAGGGTCCTCGAAATTGGCATTTTCATCAACCGAAAGGTCCCAATCGTTGTTCTCTAGGATATATGTCAATACAGTTCATACTTGGATATCACAAAGTGGGCTATAAGGGTACCTTTCACTACGCCACCAGTAGGAATGCCAGTCATTGGAATCAAGGCCGCGATGGACGAAGTAACCACGACCTTCTTGATGGTTGGCACCTTTGCTGCTGCTTTCAGCAAGGCGGTGGTCCCCTTCACAGCCGGGGGAAAGTATGACTTCTTGTCTGACCCATGGGGAAGAGGGGATGCAAGATGAAGGACATAGTCCACGCCGTTCAACTTGTTGTCGAATGCCGTCTCATCGGTGAGGTCTGGAATGATAACAAATTCAATTTGGTCACTATACTCTGAGAGCAGAGTTTCCAATTGCTCAGATGGCTTGCGAAGACAAACTCGCAGTCGATACCCTACCTCCAGAGCAGCCACTGCAGTGGCACTCCCGATAAAGCCAGTGGCTCCGGTGATAAATATTAATTCATTAGACATCTTGTTGATTATTCGAGTGCTGGTGGGGAGAAAATATTCTGTACTGCGCTCAGCCGTCTTTTATATCCATGGGTTGAATTTGTAATCTGCTAGCTAATCTAGTTTGCCTAAATCTTTATTTGGATATCATTGATAGGCTGGGATAAGTAAAATGATGGAATCCACCTACGTTATACCCGGTCTGGTTCTAAAGAGAGCCTCAATTCCATGCCACGCCGACATGCTGGATGTCATCATTATTTGAATGCTAACCCGATTGATCGAGCATATAACACGGCTCATCTAATATGCAACCCGAGTAATCGTTGGTGTTACTATTGTGAAGCTCGAAAAGTTGTACGGTGTAGTAATCAACCTCTGCGGCCGAGGCTGATGAAATGATCAAAAGACTTGGTGTTACAAGTGGACCCGTTGTTGTGTTCGACATTTTTCTATTACACTATCACCCCGAGGCATAAGACTATGCGAGACTGAGTAAAAAGGTGATCATGCATATGAATGATGGCGCTACCATATTTGGTATCAGTAATCCGCGAGGTTTATTTGGGATATTATGATCTTCAACTTGGTATAAGAATGTATCAACGTATCTCCATAGGATTCGTCTTGAAATTATTATCAACAATTTACTCTCGCAAGAAAGCGACTTCCTTCAAAATGCCTTCCTGGTATATCAAACATAGTCCAAACACCATTACGGCTCCGGAGAAAGAACAACTCGCCAAGTCAATTACCAAGCTGTACGTCTCCCATGGCCTACCTGCATTCTACGTCCAAGTCCACTTCATCGAGAACATTCCCGGTACTTCGTTTGTTGGTGGCGAACCTCATCCCAACTTTGCATCCCTGACAATATACCACATTGCCCGTGCCTTCAAAACCGACGAAGCCAAACGGGGATTCATGGCTGCCATTGATGAGATTCTCAATCCACTTTTTGAGCCGAAGGGAATGGAATGGGAGTATTTCATCGCAGAATCGTCGAGAGACTTGTGGAAGATGAATGGTCTTGTGCCGCCGCAGCCTGGATCTGAGGGAGAGAAGAAATGGGCCGAATTGAACAAGGCTGTTAAGCTCTAGTGTTGCATGAAGATGCCGAGAGCACAAATTGGGAATACGCTTTCTACAGTGTCTATACCGAGATTATCTATCACGTTATGCATATTTGGAAATCTAGGAGTTCATTGACTATGCTCTGTAAATATTTCTGATAACTTAAATATATTGACTCTTGCATGCCCTGACAGGCGATCCTTTCTTCAACATACCCCAATATTACAAACAGAACGGGGTGGCCTAAGCTTGACACTAAACTCATACGCTCATCTTTAGATGCGCTCTATGATCCGTAATCACACCCTTTTTGTCGAGAAAGTAACCGAAGGGTTATCAAGCCGAAGTCGCGGCCAACAGCCTCAGGACGTTTCAAGCGGTTTAGATAGGTGGAGTTTGTTAGGCCTCGACATTTATAGTTTCGTGATGCTGGCCATTTTGGAACTGTTGATCGCAATGAGCGCATTTGGTCATTGACAAGACCACTCTTTTCGTTTTATTTTCTCGTAATTGTGCCCTCCATACTCCAAGATGATGTGAGCAGGCGTTTCTCGTACGATATAGGTATTCAAACAGCATCCCTGCAGAAGGCCTCGACCACCGCGAAAACATAAAGCCGGAGGGAACATGCATCGCTGCCTATAGTCCCCCAGCCTCATCTCCTAGACTCTCTTCCTCGGCGAATCATATACCTGTCAATGCTTCCATCATCAAACCGAAAAAAGCAAACATCAGCAAAATGTCAAATCTCCATCGCCCCTCTCTTTGTTTGGTCATTAGCTTCGCAGAATATATTCCTCGGGGCACCCAACACGAGCTTGACGCTGTAACCAAGTTATCACGAGTGATAACTCTCCACGATAATATTGTTTTGACGATCTGGCGCCGTTTTGAAAAATCTGTTCCAACACGGGGTGCATTGGTCATGCATGACGATCCACACTCGTACCTTAGTTTGGAAAGCTCTTCCCTGATAGGATTCTCTTACTACATCTGCTAGTTAGGTTCGATCATAGGTGATGAGGAAATGACCGGAGAAGATCGGGTGTGTCTATCAAGAACAGTTACTAAACTGTGAGATACCTACCTAGGTAGGCAGGTACCTAGGTAGTGTAGTAGGTTGTAAGAAATCGACCTTGACCCCGCATATATGCAGACATCAAGCCATTGCGTACAACGTACTTTGTACGTTTGAAAATAATACTCAGTACTAATACCATATATATATATATATATATATAAATAAAAATAAAAATAAAAAACAAATTACTGCGCGTATGCTTAGCCTGCATTCCCCGCATCTCGCTGTATCCAATTACTGATTTGACTATCTACGCCAAGTAGCCTAGTGAAGTTACCTCCGATTTGCATCTGCAAAACTGCCTGGCAAACTGCCTGGCCCATACTCACCCCAGTTAGCCCAATTAGCCCAATTAGTCAAAGTGGTAAAACCTTGGAAGGGACGAGGCGAAGTTCCACGTGACGTATTCCAAAAAAGGAAACACACAGCATGTACTTTCCTTCCAATTCAACCCTCCCTCTCTCTCTCTCTCTCTTTCCTTCTCTCTTTCCTTTTTTTCCCCTTCTTTTTTCTGAATTCCTTTCAACTTCAGTCCTTTCTGTGGTTCCTTTCAATGAGCGAGCTTGTAAATTCCTGACCTTGACGTCTTGGCCATGTCCATGTTCTCAGCTTCCAGGTTCTTCCGTCGACGGGGCGCGGATCGTGACCCCGCCGAGTCCCACATCTCGTATGAAGTGCCATTGTACACAAACGCGGCCTACTATCCAAATTGGAGAATCTATCGAAAGGAACCTCCTTCATCTTTGCGCTTGGGATTTATCTCTCACGTGTTCTACGCATTTGCCTGGTAAACACAGCCAATCATCGCCGTTCAAAGGCCCGAATTCGAGTAGATGGCTGACGCACTAATCTCAATTTGGTTTCTCGCAGGGTCAAAGATGATGGTACTATCTATGTAAGTTTAAGTGAACTAAGCATGCACGTCCAATGTAGGAATACTTACTAACCCTGCGTCATAGCTGAGTGATGAGTGGGCTGATACCCAGATGCCCGTTGATGGCGCAGAAGGTTGCCTTAGAGCTTTTGTCCAATTGAAGCAGCAGTACTCTAAGATGAGGGTCATCCTCTCTGTTGGTGGCGGTGGAAAAGGTAGCGAGAACTTCGCCGCTGTAGCCAACAGCCGCTCAAAGGTGGATACTTTCGTTCGCACTGCGCGGGGACTAGTGGATCAATTTGGAATTGACGGCATTGACAGTAAGACCGCACTGTCTTTTGGATTCTTACTCAAGTTGGAAACACATCACTCACTATATCTGCTGTACAGTCGACTGGGAGCATCCCTCTGATTCCAAGCAAGGAAAGGATTATGTTCGTCTCCTCGCGCGTCTGCGCGAAGTGCTACCAGCTCCACGATACGTCCTTACCACCGCCCTTCCTGCTGGCAAGTGGGCATTGAGGAACATTGACCTTGCTGCGGCACAAAAGCATCTTGACATGATCAACCTCATGACGTACGATTTTGCCGGACCATGGGAATCCGAGACAGGCCACCAGGCGCAGCTTTATGGCTCAGGCGTATCTGGTGAGTCGGCAGTTTCTTACGTCATAGGACAAGGAGTGTCCCCTAGAAAGATAATTTTGGGTGTCCCGGTTTACGGGCGATCTTTCCTAGGTAGCAACGGCCCTGGTCAGAGGTATACTGGAAAAGGTGGCGAGGATGGTGTCTTTGACTATCGCGATCTGCCCCGACCGGGGACACAGGAGTACCATGACAAAAACATTGCTGCATCATTCTGTGTTGGCGCTGATGGCGGTTTTGTCACATACGACACCCCGGAAACAGTAAAACAGAAGGCGGAATTTGTGACTTCGTCGAAACTGGGCGGTTTGTTCTACTGGCATGTCTGCTCTGATGCCCGAGGACCGCGCAGCTTGGTTGAAACTGGATATAACACGCTGCACGAGATGTGAGAGCGTTCAGCTGTTAGCAAAAGTAACTATAAATAAAAAATTTCAGATCCTCTTCCTTTGTTGTTATCTTGGGAAGGATGGTTATGGCTGAAATGGTCGCCTGGCATTTTAACAATTATTTCTTGGGTATTGGCTTGACGCCTAGGCTATGATCAGAAGATGTATGGAGTAACTTGAAACCGTAAAGTATATATGATGTTATAGGTTCAATAAGGTGGCAGGGATAGTAGGTACTCGGCGCTTTCGCGGCGAGAGACTTTGGGCAACCGACGGCCGAGGTTCATCTCCCCCGCATCTTCAACGGCCTTTAGCAATACCATTCTTATCATTCTGAGCATCCCGTTTGTGATTTTCAATCTCATCCACTTCTAACAATCACACCATGTCTTCCCCACAGCCCGCGACAGCAGATACCGGCTATATCACCGATCCCGGTCCGTTGGAGAATACCTACACGTCGGATCCTAGCCTTCAACGGACACTGGCATGTGAGTTTGTTACTCATATGTAGTTACAACAATCCCTAAACATTATTCAGGGTACCTACCATCTACTACATTGCAATCTGTGCAACCTCACCTCATGCAGTTCGGTGCCGAGGCTATTTCAGAGCAGATTCGTGAATGGAGCGCCGATGCAGAGCGCAATGTGCCATATGTGAAGAGCCATAACGTTTGGGGTAAGCGATATGACTACGATCGATTAGTGACCACAGAAGGTTGGAAGCAATTGGGGAAATGGGGTGCTCGGAATAGGTATCCTCTTCAAAGCGCCTTCAAGATGACGTGCATGATCTAACGCCATCCGATTAGGATCGTCTCGGCGGGCTATGATAAGAAATTAGGGATCGACCGGAGAACAGTTCAGTATGCGCTGTGAGTATTTTATTGTCGATCTTTCTACGCTATCACTCATGCCATAATCCCAGGACCTATTTGTACTCTCCTTCTTCTGG